ATCCTTGCACAAGGGCTATGCTAATCTTCTCTGTATTGTGCCAATTTTAGTACATGTGCTGCCAAAACGAGCAGTTGTTTTGTTTTTTGTTGTGTGTGTGTGTGTTTGTGTGTGTGTGTGTTTTAATGTCTGTAGGACATACAGTTATCTTTCAATAGTATAAACACATTCTCTCTTGACTCATGTCCTCATTCACTCTTCCTGTTAGAGACTGAATGTTAGTGTCCTCTCAAAATTCATATTTCCAATATGCTGTTATTTGGAGGTGGGGCCCGTGGGAGTTGAGTAGGTCATGAGGGTGGACCCCAGGTAAGTTAGATTAGTGTTCTCATAAAGGAGACTCCATAGAGCTCTCTTGCCCTATCTCCCATGTGAGGACACAGAGACAGATGGCTATCCATGAATCAGGAAATGGGATTCTTACAAGACACTGAATCTGCTAACAGCCTGAGCTTGAACTTTCCAGCTTCCAGAATTATGGGAAATAAATATTTGTTGTTTACGCCATCTAGTCTATGGTTTTTGTCTTATAGCATCCTGAGCAAACTAAGATACCTGCCTGTGTGAGGAAGGAAGGTGAATTTATCTAAATAGTGAATTGGAAATTGGAAAGAGCTACACACATACCTTGATCAAACTTTCTCTTTATTTACTTTAGGATTCAGGAATTTCACAGGGGAACTTATTGTGAGAAGGTGTGTGGTGTGGTGGTGTGTGTGTGTACATTTACTACAGATAAGAAATAATAATGTTACCAGGATTCAGCTCTAAAATCAGCTTTAATTAGTAATATAGATGAGGATTTCATCTCTATTTGACTGAACCTCAAAAATTATGAAAATAATACCAAACAAGAAGAAAAGTTATTAATGTGATTTAAAGGAGCATAAATAAAGGATTATGGTGATAGAAAAAGACAACTTCAAATAAACTTGTTTGTAGAACATATGGAGGAAGTGGCATCTGAATTGAACTTGAAAGGGCAGGTAGATATTAGACATAATGAAGATTGGTGAATGGTGTGTGTGTGTGTTTTAAACAAAACACCTTTCCAGTTAGCTCTCCTTTATCTGACTAATGTCTGAATTCAGAAGTCAAACTGCCAGATTTTGAATTTTGACTCTACCACTTACTGCTTTTACCTTGAGTAACAACCTCTCCACACACAGTGGTATTCTAAGTTATACAAGAAAATGAAAAGATTTGCATCACTGTGTGAGAAATTTTGGTTCCTTAGCTTTTTTAAAAGATAAAAACAAGTATCTTATTCTTTTATTACAATCACACATCATGTTTCTGATTCACTTACTTTTTTATATTTTTCTTTCTTGATTAAGGTATTATATATGTGTCCTTATCCCCCCATGAGTTGAGATCATGTGATATTTATCTTTCTCTGACTTTTATTTTTGAGTCAGGCCTAGATATGAGTCTCAGCTCTACTCAGCTCAATTATTAGCTGTGTTCTCTTCGGCAAGCAACTCTGTTTCATCTGTACTGTGGGAATAATAGTATTAGCCTCATGGTGATTGTTGTGAGGACTAAATGAAGTAATGTATCTACGAGGGCTTCACACAGTGCCAGGCACAGGGTAAGCACCCTTTAGAGTATTAATTATGATTAGTATTTAACTGGTGGGGAAGTAAGTCCCTAATTTCCCACCCGTTGTTGGTGCCCTCTCAATGAATCCTGAATAACCAGCATGTCCTTCTGTCATAGAAATTAGCACAATGTATAGACATTACTTTCCTCACCCACACCTTAAGATGTCTGACAGGTATTTCTTTGCCTCAAGCACTTGGGTCTCTCAGAATCCCCAGAGCTTATCCCTCTTTTGGTCTAGGGCTTGTTTAGTCTGTCTATCCTTGCTTCTCCAGATACCAGATATGACCCTAGAGACATTCTGACTTTATGTGTACAAATGTTAAAATGAGAATCATACCATCACAAATGTATTTTTGTTGAGAAAGCATTTTTTAAAGGAATTCAAACCAATTTAATTTCTTGATAAGATTTCTATATAGCACAGCAAAACAACATACATATTTTTTCCATTTTCATTGTACAGAAATCATTCTCATTGTTTTTTCCTATGTAAATTACAAAGCAAGGAATTGATTCATCTATCAGTTTTTTACACATATTAAATTCTTCCAATTACAGATTTTGCCATTGAGTCACTCAGGATCAAATTAAAATCTAAATTTAATTGATGTAATTCTATTAAATTTGGTTAAGAACGATGGGCAGTTTTACTTTGTTAAATATTGCTATCAGGTCTACATTTTTAGGGTCAATTTTGGCAACTTTTAATCACGAGATGTGATTTTTCAGTGAGTTTTTCTAATACATTTATCATTAGCAGTTAACTGTTCTCGTTTTTTTAAATGTATTTTTTTTAATATATTTTATTGATTTTTTACAGAGAGGAAGGGAGAGAGACAGAGAGCTAGAAACATCGATGAGAGAGAAACATCAATCAGCTGCCTCCTGCACATCTCCGACTGGGGATGTGCCTGCAACCCAGGCACATGCCCTTGACCGGAATCGAACCCGGGACCCTCCAGTCCGCAGGCTGACGCTCTATCCACTGAGCCAAACCGGTTTTGGCAACTGTTCTGGTTTTACTTCTACAATGGAAATTCACTTGTGATTTGGATAAAAATTTAAATTCACTTCTTTGCTAAATTGAGAAAATTGTAATTCCCCTCATCAATTCTCTAGGAGGGTCACTGGTGTCAAAATACCTCCCCTCATTTCTCTTTCTTGTTGTCTTTCATACCATTC